AAAAACCCTTCGACATACGATGAATTGGTGGAAATGATGAAGGTCAAAATTGTCAACGAAGAAATGATTGACCACAGAAACAGAGCTGCCCAGGGGCTCCTACCTCCTCAAAGGCAGATAGGAAGGGGACCCACATCTCAAATAGTAAGCCGACTCCCACTTCGGGACAAGCACTGGCCTCTGCCACTCTAAATGCAGTCCCCCCTTAGCTTATGAAAATGTTTGGCCATACACAAACAACCCAGCTAGGAACATCGGGCAACCCTCAACCTCTAGAAATAGGGAAAAAGGTGGGAGGCCTAGAGATAAGTCTCAAGAGATGCGACCCTACTGCACCGTCCATAGCTACTATGGTCATGACACAAGCGAATGCAGATAGGCAAACAGGCCTACAACAACCCTCATAATGCCAGAGAGAACCACTATCAAGGTAACAATCCGAGGTGCAGCTCCCTAAGAAGGGGTGAAACAAGGTGACACTCTCCCCACCGCAATAGAAACAATGATAGGGAGAGGCCCCAAAATAGGCAATGCCCTGGAGAGATTCAGCCACCTCGAATGAGCAACAACCCATTCGTGAATTTACACAATCATTGGAGGATCCCATATGGGAGGTGAATCAAAAAATGCACAAAGAAATTTCACCAGGGAAGCAATAGCTCCACCACTGGCTAGCTACATAGTAAGCCAGTCACAAAGTGGAAGGGTTGTAGAGCCTATTACATTCACCCAGGAAGATGCGATAAATGTACATTTCCCACACTATGATGCTCGGTAGTCAGAGCCGTGGTGGCTCGTAACGGGCTAAAACGCATGCTAGTAGATAATGGCAACTCAGTCAACATCCTGTTCGGCACAACTTTTGACAAAATGGCAGTAGATCATAAGCTAACACCAATGAACTCGTCCCTTTATGGATTCACTGGGGACAGCATCATCTCCGAGGTAAGATCACTTTGGCTGTTGAAATTGGGGCATCGCCCCAGGTGGCACACCACTTCATGGAGTTCCTAGTTGTCGATCGACATCTGCTTATCACGGAGTTCTAGGGTGGCTCGCTTTGAAGGAGTTATGGGCAGTCACTTCTATCCATCACCTCTGCATGAAGTTTCCCACAGAGTGAGGAATTGCCACTGTCTGAGGCCATCAGATGGGATCCAGGGGATGTTATCTCAATTCCTTAAGAAAAGTAGAGCCACAAGTTAACATGGTACTGGATGCCGAAATGTTAGAGGCCCCTAAAGAAGGGTTACCTCCGACCCAAGACATCATGATGGTTGGCGATAGGCCCGAAATGCCTTTGGAGGAGCTAGATCCTAGGGTGATTGAGTCGGAGTCACAAATCGCCCCAATGGAGAAATTGGAGACATTCCCAGTAGATCCCCAAGACGCCACCTAGGTTTTGTAGGCCGGTAAGGGTTTGGGAGAGGAGATTAAAGAAGAACTAAAAGACTTCCTCCGAAAAAATTCAGATGTCTTCGCATGGAGGCACAAGGACATGATTTGAATAGGCCCCAAGGTCAGTTGCCACCACTTGCAAATTGACCTAAACTGCACTCTACACAGGCAGAAGATGAGGGCATTGAATAATGAAAGGTACGAAGCCTTGAAAAAAGAGGTAGAAAGGCTTATCGGTAATGGCTTTGTCCGTAAGGATAACTATCCAAAATGGATCTCAAACCCTGTACTAGTGAAGAAGCACAATGGCAAATGGAGGGTTTGTATTGATTTCTCCAACCTTAATCAGGCCTGCCAAAGGATAATTTTCCATTTCCAAGAATCGACCAGTTAGTAGATTCAACTGCCGGGCATGAATTGTTAAGTTTCATGGACGCCTATTTAGGCTAAAATCAAATCCATATGTTTCTAGGCGACGAGGATAGCACCTCTTTCATTATTGATAGGGGCTTTACTGTTACAAGGTGATGCCCTTCGGTTTAAAGAACGCAGGGGCCACTTACCAAAGGTTAGTCAACAAAATATTTGATGATCAGCTCGGTAAAACAATGTAAGTTTATGTTGACGACATGCTGGTAAAGAGCCTCCTAGCTTAAGGAGCACATCAAACATTTGGTAGAGGCCTTCCATATATTGAGAAAGTATCACACGAGGCTGAATCTTCTTCAGTGTACTTTTGGCGTAGCCTCAGGAAAGTTCTTGGGCTACATCATAAATCAAATGGGAATAGAGGCCAACCCGGAGAAAATCAAAGCTCTGATTGAAATGGGGTCCTCACAGAATCCCAAGGAAGTGCAACGGGTCACTGGTAGAATAGCCGCACTGAATCGCTTCATCTCAAGGGCCACTAAAAAGTGCTTACCCTTCTTCAAAATCCTCAAAGGAGGCAAAAAGTTCCAATGGACCCCAGAGTGCGAAGAGGCGTTCCAGGAGTTGAAAAACTACCTTGGACGAACGCTTATCCTCAACAAACCAAATGAAGGATAACCTTTGCTATTATACTTGGCAGTAGTTGAAGATTCAATTAGCTCAGTGCTTGTGCGAGAGGAAAAAATGCACCAGCTGCCAATTTACTATGTGAGCAGAGCCCTACTGCCTGCAAAAGCGCGTTATCCAGACATGGAGAAATTGGCCCTTTCTTTGGTCACCGCTTCTTGAAAATTGAGGTCTTACTTCCAGGCTCATAGCATTCACTGGACGAATTTCCCATTAAGGCAAGTCTTGCAGAAGCCAGACGCCTTGGGAAGGTTGCTGAAATGGGTCGTTGAGCTTAGTGAGTTTGACATAACATACACGCCCTGAACATCAATTAAGGGTCAAGCCTTGGCTAATTTTGTTGCAGAATTCACCAAAGCACCCAAAATTGAAGTGAACATGGAACCAGCAGAGCCCATCATCTGGAATTTATTTATCGATGGCTCCTCAGGAGAAAGAGGCTTCGGAGCTGGTGTTGTTTTGGAGAGCCCATAGAAGCACAAGCTTAACTGTGCTGTGAGGCTCAGATTCAAGGCCTCCAATAGTCTCTTCTACTGGACTTCGATTAGCTAAAGAATTGTAGGTGAAAAGATTGATCATCAGTAGTGATTCACAGTTGGTATTAAATCAGGTTAATGGGAACTTCGTGGCCTGAGACAAACATA